ACATATTTAAAAAAAAAAAAAAAAAAGCCATCCTAGTCAAACAATTGGATCTCAATGGCCCTGAGTGGCTGAAATCCCAAGCCCATTCTTTTCCTTAATGTCATGCTGTGCATTTCCTGATTCTCTCAACTACCCTTGTTTGGGATGTTACAAATATGTCACACAATTAAATTAAATTACATAATAAAAATAAAGTCAAAGGTGGCTGTAGCTCAGTGGGTAGAGCAGGTTGTCTACTGATCGGAAGGTTGGTGGTTCAATCCCTGGCTCCTCCAGTCTGCATGCCAAGTATCAATTGCCCAAGTTGCTCTCCGATGTCGGAGTGTGAAAAGCACAAGAGTGTTAGAAAGCACTCAGTTTAGAGAAAGTGCTTGTAGATTGGTTGAATGTGTCATGTTGTATAGAGTGCTTTGAGTACTCTGGGAGAGTAGAAAAGTGCTATATAAGAATCAGTCAATTTACCTTATCAAATACCATTATCTAAGATTTATGTCTATCTAATTATACCAATCATCCCCTTGTTATTCCAGCCTCTGCCACTAGGTCATAATTATGAGGCCCTTCATTGCCCTCTCTATTAATGTCCTAAATGTTTATACTCTTTTTAATCCTATGGAATATTCAATGTGTCTCACCCATTGAATAGAGGCTCAGTCAGGTCATTGATGGGAATCATTCAGTTTGCATATTAATCCATTGTTATTATCATTATTAGCTTTTTGTCACTGATAACAGATTCGGTTCTCCAGATTTTACTTGTCTGGTTTTAACAGGATTCAAAGGGAGCATGTTTTCTTAATTTAATTCTTTAATTTAAGTATTTTATGAAATAGGTCCCCCTATCTGCTGTGATGACTGTTACCGTTGCCGGTCATGCACACATGCACTGTTACATTTTGGGGAAAAAAAGACAAAAAAAATTACTGCAAATAAAATGCAAAGAATGTAGGCACTAACAAGTGACTAAACTGAGGGTAAATATGAACTGCTGAGATGAATGAACCTGAATGAAACTGAGTTGACTGAGGTGAGGTTTTGTTGACAATACAAACATGTACATGTACCTCTACCATTAGACAGTTACATAAGTTAATTTGTTTGTGTGTCTGTGTGAATGTGTGTATGTGGTGGTGTTTCAGTCTTAGAACATACTGACAGCACTGTATGTTGTGTTTCCTGCTTTCTGGTTGATGCTTTAATGTCATTGTACCCCTCATTAGTATTTTCCACAGGCGTGAGCTTGGGCTTTATGCCATTTGCTTCAAATTCCTGCCCCACGCTGACACTAGGGCTGTTTTCCTGCAGGGGCCACATTTCCTGCCAAGTGAGCGATGGATGATGAGCTGGTTGTCTGCTTAGGAGGGGCTTCCTCTGCCTGTAGTTAGCCCACACCTGCACAATAGTCTCTTTGAAAGGCCGTGTTGTTAGTGTGTAAAGGATGGGGTTAAGTGCGCTGTTGATGGGGAGAATAAATATGACTACCCAGGAGCTGATGGTACCTGTCAGAGAACAGAGAAAGAAATACAATTACAGTGTTAATTACTTAGTCTGTCTAGATTGTTACATTTAACAACTACTGACATCACAAATTAAAAATGATATGCAAATACTATCCTTAACCTCAAAATAAATTGTCATCATGCATAATCTAATGCATAATGGCATTCTCATGCAGTAGTAAAACTTATGGGAAACTCTTTAAGAGAACACAGAATGAATCCATATTGGGAGCACTTTGCTCCGTTTGACCTTTAAAGGCAGGACTTTACAACCTGATGCTTTGGAAGAGAATGTATCTGTAGCCAGCTCTGATTCACTGTAATCAATTTCAAAAATCATCTAAAACACATCACGTGGCATTTAAATGTATTCTTAACCCACTTCTCCCCCCATAAAACAGTAACTTCATCACACACAAATCAGCAACACATTATCACTTTCTTTTGCCAAAGACATGTGATTACAAACTGCTAATGACCTGGTCAATGATGATGTCACTGAAAAAAATCAAATGAATAATAAAATGAAGCCTGTCATTAATAATCTTAAAGCAAAAATCAGTAAATCAGTAGGATATAAAAATTAAAAAATCATTAAAAATAATAAAATCTATACATAGGAAATCAGTCACATCCATCATCGTATCCATGTGGTATTAGTTAAAAGTCTAGCAGCTACATTCTGCTGAACCCTTATAAAGACCTGCCTGCATTCATCAAATCATCTGCTTCTTTTAGTGAGCTGCAGCAGACACAGCTGAGTTAAGAGGCCAAAAATATTGTAGAGGCAAACTGTGAGGCTAATTAGGTAGTATTTTACTCAAAATGCTCCTTTTCATCGAAGTGTTTGTTTAATGCTTGTCATTCTTTTACTGTACCGGGAATCTCCACCTGCAGCAGCGAGAGGATCTTGAGGATGAAAATGGGGATCCAGCAGAGGGAGTCAGTAATGACGATAGAGAAGAATCTTTTGGCAATGGTCACCTCCTTTTTGATGTGGTTGCTATATTTAGTGGTCTGAGTGCCTGTTCTCTGGATGTTATAAAACATACTTGCATAGGAGAGGACAATGATGAGGAATGCCACCAGGTTAAGACCTATGGAAAGATTTCATACAAACAAGTTTAAATTTGCAGTACTTGAATGTACATGTATAATAAATCTTTGCATCCAGAGCAAATAAATAAATGCAAAACCCCCCACATATAAAACACATATACTAAATACAGAACCTGTACTTTTACAGTTACCTTTGGAGAAGAAGTAAAAACAAAAAAAACAAGTGAAAACATGAACAAAAATCTTCAAAGCACTGTTTCAAGAACAAATCCTCACCCAGGAAAATAACGACGGAGTAAACGTGAGCCCATAGAGTCTCTGGTTGTTCAGAGTGCAGTGGAAAGCAGACACCATTGGTCCCGTAAAAGTTGCGAAACAGCCCCTTGCAAACTAATGGGAGGAAGGCAATAATAAAACCAAACACCCATATCCCAAGAAGGATGGTGACAGTTCGTCGCCAGCCAGGAGTCAAGTACTGGAAAGGGTAGACTATGCAGATGTATTTCTCCAGCGTTAGATATGTGAGGAGCAGGACAGATACTTCAGTGGACAGCATGGCCAAAGAGCCAATGACCTGACACTGGCTGCTATCCATCCACGCCTGGGCGTGCCGGTTGTACTCGCCTCGAAACTTTAGGTCATATGCACCGATCATGAAGAGGTAGATGCCCATCAACCCATCTGCACCTGCGAAGAAAAAGCAGCTGATTTACAAATTACTTATGAGATTTTGGTATACGATTACATCCTGATATTTCTGGAGTATTTGGCTGAACATATAGCTATAACGATGTATTTGGGCTGCTTTGCTTCAGAAAATTTAGTTTCATTACTTTAGATTAATTAAGAAATGTGAGCACAACATCAGTTGGACTTATTTTAACACCAAATAAACACTGCAGTGCTCTGAAAAAAAAGTTTTAAAAAAAATTGGTCAACATGAAAGGATTGAATCTGTAAGAAGGAGATTAATGATGACATGCTGACAGCAGCCACTCAACCTCGGAAATCCATGCATATTAAGAGGAACCAGGGATACTATAGGTTAACATCAGTCTTTCATGCGGTCTAAACTGTTATGAAAAGGAAATGAATGATATGATCAGTTTGAAATGGTGCAGAAATATACCCATTAGCATTCTTGCTGAAACTCTTGAGGAAAAGGAGTAGTGGCTGTGCTCTTTTTAACTTAGCATTAAGACTTTGAATAGGAAAAAAAATAGCTCTGTTCTGTTCAAGGGAAACAAAACTGACACATTAACTAGAGAACTCAAGGCAAACCTTATGAAAGAGAAACAGAATAATGTATGTTCAGTGTTTTAAACTAGAATGCTGATTTCTTGTTCTTCTGCTCAAAGAGGAAGGTTTATGATATCACAGGTAGTTAGAAGCCAGTTTTGAAGAAATCGACATACACTTTAAATGTTGCGTATTATTAAAGAACATGTAAGGGATACCCATCCATCCATCCATCCTGTTAACTGCAGTTTAGGGTCACAGGCGTGATGGAGCATACAACAGTGATGCATATTTATAGATTCTGAACTTTTCATTGTTTCCAGTTTTAATGAAACAAAGTGGTAAGTGGCCTGCATTTGTATAGCGCTTTACTCAGTCCCTAAGGACCCCAAAGCGCTTTACACTACATTCAGTCGTTCACCCATTCACACACCCATTCACACACTGGCAATGGCAAGCTACATTGTAGCCACAGCTGCCCTGACACTGTCGCCACTGACAGAGGCGAGGCTGCTGGACACTGGCGCCACCGGGCCCAAATCAAAAATGAAACTCAAGCTCAGTTTTACACTTGAATTTCAAAACTTTTAAACATCTTATCTAAACCAAGAAATGTTCAAGGGGTTTGAGGATTAACATTTAAATGTAAATCTGACATGTAAAATGGGGAAATATTTAATATTGCAGAGTATTCTTGGGTGTCTCAGTCTAATTTGAAAAAATAGGTCATGTTATTCATGTTAAAAAAAGGGTAATTTCTTTCCGTTGTATCTTGTCACAATCCGCAGTGGCAGACCGAGTGGAGAGTGTGTGGAGGACTCAGACACAGGCGAAGACACGAAACTGAGTTCAAATGAAAAGCGAGCCTTTATTTTGGCTGATGACATGGGGGTCAAACAAGGCAGAAGCACAGTGACCATGACAGTATCTGTTCCATTAAAAAAACATTCAAATGTAATACAAGTGGATTTGATCTATTCATGAGAAACCTTTTCAAATAAATGAACTTGCAGACATTGCTCAAGATTTCCAGCAAAACATAAGTAAGCACACTGCAAGTATCAGTGAGCAACATTTTAATAGAAGGAAACACAGTATCAACTAATGGACGTGTCCAAAGTCAAATTGATTTTATCCAAAGTAAAGAAGGCCTTTTTCTGTGTGAAATGATGATTAGAGTAAAACCTTTGAAGAGGTTATGGCATTCTACATGCACTGGTAAAACTGCTTATTTACATTCAAAGCACGATCAAATGGAATTAGAGTGACCGGACTATAAGAAGATCAATAATAAGGGTCAGTAGACTGAGAGTTGGGGGAAAAAATGAACAGATTTTTCTATAGAAGAAAAGGCAAGACTCCAATCACCACAAATGCATTAGTATTAGTTCCTATGACAGTTGGGGGATATATTAACATTCACCAGCATTTCTCTGATTGGAAAAAGTGTTCTATTTGCAACAGCAACACTTCATTTATCAGAGACATCTTTTGGTTTTCCTGTTTTTTAGAAAAGAATTTATACAGCAGCAGAATGATGACCACAATACAAGCTTTCCGAGAGCTACGAAAGAAGAAACATCAACTGTCACGGATTTTGCTCTATAAGCCACCCACCTTCATCCCCACGGAACATTTGTGGGGGCATTTGAAGACTAAGAAAACCAAACTTTCTCGATAAAACAAGAAACTTTTGGGGATGTTGTGAGATAATATGGGATATGTTGTTTTGTACAAACCTGTAGATTCCAGGGTTCGAAATATTCATGTGATTACAAATGTAAATTTAAGCTGCGGAGCCAATATTTTTTATGATAAAAAGTCTAAACAAATGAAAACTATAGGTATCATCACTAGACCTACTAGAGTTTGTAAATAAGAATACTTTGTTAATCCCAGAGGAAATTATGTGGTCACAGTTGCTCCAAGACAGTAAGAACAGTAACTAAATAAACTAAA